CCCACAGACTCGATACGCGCCCCCGCTGGGCGCCCTTTTGCTGGAGCCCGGTCACCAGTCACCTAGCCTGGAACGCTCGCTTTTCGTGCAACCCGTATAGACACGCTGCGGGACGGCTGGGCTTCGGTCAGCCATCCTGGTCCCAGGCCGGCGTCGCGGGGTTACAGTCCCGCATGTGTAGACTCATGCCTGGTACCACTGGACTCGTGATGCCAATGTTTAGTAGTGCCCCAGTGGCCTAATGGATAAGGCACTGGCCTCCTAAGCCAGGGATTGTGGGTTCGAGTCCCACCTGGGGTGGCATAGCTTTCTATGTTTGGCAGCAGATTTTGGTGTCCAGGGTTCTGTTTACTCCCGATCTCTACCCCTCACTGGCCCTACCAAACCACCCCCGACTCCTTTAAAGACGCAGGTGATAAGCTTGAGAATCTTTTACCCCCATCTCGGTAGTAGCCGGTGCCGCCATCGGCCCCCTCGGGATCGGAGTTTAGCTGCCATCCGTGCCAGGGACGCGAAAGAGTGTCTTGGAAACACGCTGCACCCTTAAATTTACTGGGAGAGTCCGATCTCCATTTCCAACTGTCTGAAAGTTGGGGATTGGCCCCTCGAATCCAACACTGCGAAGTTGAGTTAAGGGGGCGGAATCTGTGGGGCAGACTCCGGTTCAAGTCTGGTTTGGGGAGTGAAAATAAAGTTTGGCAACTTCCCGGATGGGACAGGCCTTTTTTAAAAAAAAAAATTCTTGAGGGAAACGAAACAAAAACTACCCCAGGTGGGACTCGAACCCACAATCCCTGGCTTAGGAGGCCAGTGCCTTATCCATTAGGCCACTGGGGCCTGCGGCGCATGAGCGTGGCGTCTTCTCCTGTAATAGGCTCTTACAACGGTCTGACTCCGTGCTCGTTTTGCTGGCACGGTCTGTTGGCTGGCTGACTGCGGTGCGGAGGACACGACCCGGTACTGAGCTTCAAATAAATGGAATCTTACTTTTTTTTGTACAAAGACTGGCTTCTCTTGATTTATGATTCATCCACATTCCTTCTTTTGCCCTGTTTTTTGTTTCTGTTTTTAAGGATGGATCTCTGTCCATTCAGCCTGGTTTTTGTTGTTTCTTTTGTTTTTAATGTTTCCCCTCCGTGTCTTTGAATGTTTTTCACATGCCAGCGGTGTGTTCTGAGCTCCTCAGGGGTCCAGCACTATGTCTTGGGGTCCCTCCTCTGTCCTCTCACACTGTCACTGTCTAACCCTGGGTCGTCCCCCACCCCCCCACCCCCCCAGTATATCTTCTCTCTCTCCTCAGAGACTCCCCCGCCCCGCCATCCATTCCCAAGACTCCACTTGTCCTCTCTGCCCTGGGTCTCCCAGATCCCGCTTCATTCTTGAGCTCCAAGGCTCCAACGACCCTCTCCTGCTTGGCTTCCTGGACATTCCTCCTCAGAGTCACCAGTCTTTTCTCCACAGACAAAACCACGCACTTCAGCCAGCCATCCTCCCAAGCACACGCCCACTCCCACACCATCTGGCCAATCTTCCGACCGCAGATCCTCATGCATCTGTTGTTTCTGTACCCACTGATCCCCTGGGTCAGTCTGCAACCTGTGCCCGGTCCATGCAGACGTTTCTTTGTTCAGTAATGGCCAGTTTAGCCTTCCCTTGCATCTTCTATTGAGGGGTAAAGTCTAAATATGTTAACTGTCCGTTTAAAGCAGGGGTTATTGTCACTAAGTGCAATCGAGTCCGTTCTGATTCAGTGACCCTGTATAGTGTTTCCAAGGAGCGGCTAGTGAGTTTGAACCGCCGACTTCGTGGTTCTAGCGGATCTTGAGGCAGAGTGCTTATCCTATGGTGCCACAGCAGGGGTGGGGAACCATTTTTCTGCCAAAATTCGTGGACCATACAAAATTATCAACTTAAAAATTAGCCAGCTATATTTGGTCAAACATTTAATTAACTGACCCCTAATAGGTTGTGTGAACCGACTCCACGGCACATAACAACAACAATATGATATGTGCCGCTGTGGGTTGATACCTCAGACTGCAAAGCCGTTTGAACTGCAAAGTCAGTGGTTCAAACTCACCAGCCGCTCTTCGGAGACCCTATATGGAGTCACTATGAGTCGGAACTGACTCCACAGCATTTAACAGCAAAAACAACAAACATGATGACTAGAACTGTGGTTGCTTTGTGTGCCTTGTGGGGCTGTGGGTTAATGAACCAGACTACAAAGCTGTTTGAATTGCAAGGTTGGCAGTTCAAGCTCACCAGCTGCTCCTCGGAAACCCTATACAGGGTTGCTATGGGTCGGAACAGACTCGAAGGTACTTACCAACAACAACATATGTCCCGCAGGCCAGATATTACCCACTCCTGCAAGTTCCAAACCTTTCTAGGTCTGGATGCTACTCATCACCGTGGTACCTAATCTTCCTTACCTCCTAGTTCCTTAGGTTCCAGCCACACTGGGCTGTTTGTGATGGTTAGCATTCACTGAGCACTTGGTGGTGGTGAAGTGCTTTTGAGTTGGTTAATTACACATTTTGATTCCTTATGAGGTAGGAACTAGTTAACATCATTTCTCTTTTGGAGATGAGAAACTAAAGGGTCAAAGAATTTTACCCAGGTTCCACTGTTTGGTGAAGAGGTGGTTTCAAAGCTCACCCTCTCACTCACTCTAGTGCCCTGTCTTAGCCACAGGCAGGAGAGGGCCTTGGCATTACCCACACTTTCTTATCTTTGCCCTTGGCCAACATTGGGACCTCTGGTGGTAATGCCAGCTCTTCCTCTCCTTCATGTCCAGCTCAAATGCCACCTCCTCCAGGTCATCTTCACTGAGCCTCCTGCTGGAGCTAGGGGTCCTTCTCACTGCCACAAGTTATTTAGGCCTTTCTTACGTCATTGGCCACAGTTATGTCCTGTTACTATAATAGCAGGTCTCCGTTTGTCTTGTTAGTTTTTATCATCCCCTGATGAATCATTCTCCCTGCAACTAGAATGTTAACCCCCCAGAGGAAAGCTCTTTGTTTGCTTCACTGCTGATTCCCCACCCCCTCACCCAGTGCCTGGCAGTCAGTAAATTTCTGTTGAATTAATGAACTCATGAAAGTGGTACTTCCTTGCACATAAGCCTCACTTCCCCACAAGGCCCTAAGTCCCTTCCAGATCTTTGGTTATGTTGGAAAAAGTCATTTATAAGATAGAATCCCTACTGAATAGTTTTCATCTTGTCTAGACAGGTCTGCTGAAAGGAGGTGGGGATAGGATTCTTTTGATTCAATAGTGAGTAATTGTTATCATGACTAATTGTGATCGTCACAACTGTAAAGGTAGAAGTTATATAACAAAAAGGGGGGAGTAGTTAATCTTATATTCCAGGAAGAGAGGACCCTATGCCCATCAAGGGAGAAGAGCATGAGTGGAACATGAGACCCTATCCAAAGAAGCAGCGACACCAGAGATGGAGGTAGAGGTGATGACATGGCGATTGACCCGCTGAGGACTCCAGACTCGTGTAAAGAGAAAGGTTGTGTGCCAGCGGCCAGGAGGCAGACTTGCAGAATGTGCCCTTTGGTTGTTTAAATTATTATATATTCCAGAGTGTTTTTGTGTTCATCAAACAAACTAAGGGAATTAGAAGCAAAAACTGTCAACCGATAATGCTTGGAGGGAATTGTAATCATTTCAATGAACCAAAATATGATTGGTTTATGTTTTCCCATGTAAACTATCACTCAATTCACAATAAAAGCTTTAAAAACAGTGATTCATAAATGTTTTTCCAATGAAAAGCATATATATGACTAGAGTTCATCACAATGCATTTAGATCTTCACAATATAGCATCTGTCAAACAAGTAAACTAGATTAAAATAATAGTCTCAGAAATTCATATACATGAGCAATATATTCTGTAACCTGTCTACTCCTTCCCAGAGCCATACTGCTGTACACAGAACTTCTCAATTGCAACTTGCTCTTTTCTGCCTCCAAGAACCCATTGACCTGGAGTAGCTGCAGGCTCTGGGCCCATGGACCGAGTAAGGCTGTGTGCCTGTGGGCAGGAGGCTATCTTGCAGCATGTGCCCTTTGGACAAAGTGAATATATTTTTGTTTTGTTTTATATGTGTGCATCAAATAGTTTTGCTTTGTTCATTGTTGTTGCAGGGAGGGGATTGTAATCATTGGGGTGAAAAAAAGTGTATGATTTGTTGAATGTAAAGCTGATCACTTTGTCTGTACACCTTGATTCAATTCACAATAAAACGTTGAAGACAATAACAACAAAAAACCACTACCCAAGACGGCACCCAGCACCCAGTATGCCTTCCTCACACGAGATCTCCAGTGACTCCCCATTTACCTATGTTTCATAAAATCGGAATTCCTTGACTCCAAGGCTCTCCAGATTGAGCTTCTAGCTGCCTCTAGACTTCCCTCCCACAAGTCTTCTGCACACCACGCATTCACACCACAGGCTTTCACACCAGCTCCCCAGCCCTGCCTCTCTCCTGTTGCCATCATTTAGATCGTTCCCTTCAGCGAACATGTCCCTCTCCCCTCGTACTAAGATCCAGACCCAAATCTCTATACTCACTTCTCCCCGTCCTTCTGATTGCATGTTCCCTGAAGACAGACACCAGAACACATTTTCTCTGTTTTCCCAGTACTGTGGTACATAGTTAGTACTGAACGAATAATTCCACTGAGCGGAAGGTAGGAATTCTGTTCTGATGCACTGTGAGTTTAGAATTTTTATTACAGTGAATACATTACCCAGATCACGAAGGTTTAATAGTATAATGACTACTTACAGAGACCTTTACAAGGAATGCCGGAAACTTTCATTCCACAAGAGCATTCTCTTAGCGGCCCCAATATTACAATACGACAAGCATTAACAGAAAAGGAAGGAAGCAATCTCTTCCTAGGGTCAAAGGACCCTTAGCTGCAGTTGTTCAGGTACCCTGAGGAATGGTGTTAGCGGGCTACAGGCGGTGATTTCAGTCCACATCTACCCTTCGGCTTGTTTTGATGGCAGAATTTATTCTCTTTTGTCTCAGCCTTTCCCGATTCCTGTTTTCTACCCTGAAAACAAATCCCACAATTAGGCCCAGATGTCCAGTGTTTTTCTAAGTGGTAAGAGATACTGGGAGCCCCTCGGAAGCAGAGCTGCCAGATTAGCAGGTACTAGCTCCTGAGACCTTTGTTCCGGTCAGTCTCCCAGTTCCGGGAGCTATCCTCCTGGTTCCAGGATCTATCCTCCCCCCCCCCCCCCCGCCGGTCTGCTGAGAGGTCTTGGGCTTCACCTGCCTCCCTTACTACCTTGCAGCTTCATGCACAGGGGTCAGTTTATAGACAACCAGGGCCTATTCTGAGAGAGTGTGGTGGCTCTACAGGATAAACACTCTACTGTGAACCACAAATTTGACAGTTCAAGCCCACTAGCCACTGCTCAGGAGCAAGATGAGGCTTTCTGCTCCTACAAAGATTTGCAGCCTCAGAAGCCCTATACAGGGTCGCTGTGAGTCAGAAGCAATTGCACAGCATTACCAATAGGACTTTTCTGGTACCTGAACTTCCAAAGTACCCCATCTTCTTTAGATGGTTCTTTGGGGGTCTGACTGGCCGTGGTGATCAGGTCTCGAATTTTCTGTAGGCAGTCAGCCAGATTCCGGAACTGATAGCGGCTACATTCCGAGGTGATTATCAACTCTCCTGCTCTGTTGATCTTATTTTTATGCTGCAAATAAAGGAAAAGCCAGTGTCCTTCCAGAATGAAAATGGAAGTTACCGGGGATTACAGACAAGGGGACGTGGTTACCTCAAGGGCGATCTTCTGCCGCACCGGCTCGGCAATCCAGTCAGCGCTGGCCAAATGGAACCTGACTTCAGCCTTGGAATTCACTGAGGAGGAGAGAGGAGGGGAACATGGGTCACACAGGCTCCCAGGGGTGGGGTGGGGTGGGTGGCTGGGAGACGAGACAGCTAACCATTTACAGCACTAGCCTATGTCACCTTGGGGATACAAAGTTGGTGATGGAATGAGCCTGGAAATAGTGAGGTGCTTTTGGACAAAAAGAAAATCTTCAGTGCTTTGCTTACTGTTGTACTGGGCTCTGAAAAGGCTGGGGGGAGCAGGCTCCATGAGAATGAAGGGAACTTGGAGGTGGCTGCCAACTCACACTGTGATTTCCCTTTGTTTAGACTCACAAGCCAATCCTAGGCCTAGCAACCCACAGTGGAAAGTCTGAGAATCAAAGCACACGCAAAAGAATAAAGAGGATTATTATAAGCTGGTGGAATGTAAGCTTCTGTTGAAAACTCCCTTATTCTGCATGAATATAAACCTCGAGCTGACAGGATGCTGTTTCCTAGCTAAGGTTTAAAGGAAAAGCAAGTAACAAAGCTCCCAGTACCTTTATTAACATTCTGCCCCCCAGGACCACTACTCCTACAGTAAGATATTGTCAAGCGATCTGTAAAACAGAAGAAGACAAAAATATGATTATCCCATGGCAAAATGTGTAAACAGCTACTAATTTTACCTTCAATATAACTTGCCCTATTAGCTAGAATCTCTCTCTCTTCAGTGACTTTGATACGGATAAATAAAGCATTCAAATTAGTAAAGTTGAAGATTCACATGGGAAATTTAGGGAGCAAAATTATAACCCAGGTTTGTCTGTTTCTGGTCTGATTCATTTCACACATAGGCCTGCTGCCCGCCATGTTGGTTTTAAAGCAAGGACTCTCTCAAACTAAAGGCACACTTCACTTAAATGTTCATTTCAAATATGGTGGGCATGGGATCCTGGTAAGCTCCGAGGTGGCAGGCGCTGTGTCTCATTTCCTGTGTCCGTTGAGTGTTTCCAGGGCCCAGCTGACAGTCTGTTACTCCAAACATCTGCTGAGTTACTGATCACTCTGTCTGGAGTTCAGAGCTCTGGTTTCTAGCACAGGTTCAGTCACTGACTGACTACGGGATCTTGGCAAAGTCCCACTACTGCTCTGGGACACAGGTGGGTGTTTTGTTGTTGTTGTTTGAGCTATAAATTGGTTTCCTCTACGATTTTTCTTCCTGGAAAGCAGTCTTGTACAGTTGGAGAGGAAAGGGTGGAAGGCAACATAGTGGGAAAACCTCAGAAACTAGATGACGAACCATGGGGGTTTGCATGGTCAAGGATGGTGGCACTTTGGAGACAGAGAGCAGGCCTCAGTAGACAATGGTGACCCACCTTGAGACTGTTTCTGAGAGGTTTTCTTCTTCATGAGAAATCAGATCCTGTTTTGACCAGGTTACATATGCTCATGGTACTGGAAGGATCGGCTCCACCAAGTATCCTGCAATCTTGCCTGGATTCATTACCCTCAAACACAGGGCATGGGAGGTCTGTTAACAGGGACCCTATTACTTGTGTTGGGGTCAAATATTCTCTGTGTTTCAGTGTTATCCCGAGCAAGGGCCACAGAGAGCCCTACTCGGGACTCCTCCTCCTGTCATTGTCTACACAAGTAGTGAACTCTGTGACTCTAACAGGGGCTCATTGTTTCTTTACTGGCCCTGCCTTCTGCTTAACAAGAACAGCATTCCAAAGTTACCAATTATGTGAAGAATTCTTCCACACCTGTCCCCACCTACCAAGTTAGTCCTTTCCTCTCCACTCCTCAAGGCTGCTGCTGTATCCCACTTCTTTTATATCTTTTCAGATAAACACATACACATATGCAGTTGGCCCTAGAATAATGCAGGGGCTAGGGGCGCTGACACCCCACACAGTCAAAAATCTGCATATAACTTTTGACAGCTTACTGTTGACTGGAAGCCTTACTGATCACACCAACAATTGAGCTACACATATTTTGTATGTTATATGTATTATGGGTCCTGGTGTGGGACTGTAGGATAAGTACTACACTACTAACTGCAAGGTCGGTGGTTCAAACCCATCAGCCACTCTTTGGAAACCCTCTTCAGGGGTCACTGTGAGTTGGAACCGACTTGACGGCACTTCACAACTAACATGTACAACTAGCATTTTCAATACGAGAGCAGGGATTTCACAAATGGTGCAAAGCTTTCATTCCTGCTGGCATAGCTGTAGAGGCTTCGTGAATTTCGTTTCCTTTCCTTTTTTTTTTTACAATGGTCCTTACTCTGGATTCATTTATCTTGAAATGGCGGGCAACTCAAGCAGTTCAACATGTTCTTGTCATGTCATGATTTTTCTCTAATTCTTGGGGACACTTCCAGCCTCACCAGTGGCACTTCATATGGGTCCCATGGTGGTATTCAGGGTTCATACACTGGGCTAAGTCGCATAAAAACCACAATACACGAGAACCTCAAAAGGTCACTTTTCTACTTCAATAAATAAAGTTTTAGAGAGACCAACTGCTCACACAGAGATGATGAGCATTCCATGGTTTAAAAAAGAAATCCACATATAATTGGACTCACATAGTTCACACACATGTTCAAGGGGAAACTGTACACATATGCATATATACAAGTAAGATAGGCAGTAGTAGTAGACTTGGTATACTCGACTGCACCTTGTTTCAAGTACTGACCAGCGGCTCTATTGCATGTATTGTCCCATGTCAAGAGATCATCAAGAGTTCTGGGTTCACGTGTAACATTCCACTGAGCACCACCCATTTGCTATTCTAAACAAGACTGCAAAGACTCCATTTCTGTCCTCCCCAAGACAATTGCTTCACTTTCACATGGGAGCAATGTGCTTTTTAATGAAACGGAATTACTTACCTATAGGAATGTCATTGTTGTCTCGCTTTGCATCGTCCTGGAAGATAATTTATATAGTGTCAAATACATATTACCTGCTAGGTAACTCCTACTTGGTCCAGGGTATCAAAACAAATTACATGAAGCCACACTGCCAATATAGACATTACTACTTTCCAAGGCTTCTACAACTGTTCTTCCTTGTTCGGTCATGGCCGATGCAACAAAAATGGAGTCAACTTGAATTTGTAAACTGTGGATGTACTGAAATGGCAACTGGAATGGGAAAACTACTGGGTTGAAGCCCTGGGATGGTACACTCAGAAGTGGAATCGTGAGCCCTTTCAGGAGACTGATGTGGGAGGTTCTTATAAAGATCATGGAAAGTGACACCCATTCAGATTTATACAGGTGGCCTTCATCTTTGAGCTGAGCACCGCTGTCTGACTCTGTAGGTTAAAAGATTCGGTTGCTCTGGAACGCACACACTGCCCTGGTTTTCCAGGAGGGAGACTTTCAAGTAGGGAATCAACCAGTAATTTTTTTCACTCCAGTTATCACCCATTTTACAAATTTGGGTCTGTTCCAGTTTCACTTCACCAGCCATGACTGAATCAAAAAAGAACTGGTTTGAGGTCCTGTAATTTTCCAGCCTTAGCAAGCTCATCCTAACAGGATGACGGATAAAATATTCCCAGTCTCCAGAGGTATTAAGGAGCTCTGGTAGCGCAGTGGTTAAGAATCAGGCTGAGAGCCTTAAGGTTAGCAGTTAGAAACTACCAGCTGTTCCACAGAAGAAAGATGAGGCGTTCTGCTCCCATAAAGATTTATAGCCTTGGAAACCCTGTACAGGGTCGCTATGAGTCGGAACCAACTCCACAGCACATAAAAACAATCCCCAGATGTACTACCTCAGAAACATTCCTCCAGCCTGAGCTCCTACAGGTCACTAGGGGTCTGGTTCCAGGGAGGGAGGGAGTCACTCATCAAGACAGCTCTTAAAGGTACACCCTCTACCAACTTGGCACAACAAAGCTTGTGGCCCTGATCCTTCCTGGGCTGTGACAAGAACTTGTTGGGCCTGCTATTCTGTGTTTGTCTGGGATGTTCATTTCCCTACTATTCTCAGGGCCTGTGGCTGTGTTTTCTCCAGGTCTCTAACTAAATGTCTCTTGTTTATAGAGAATTTCCCATACCATTTTACTTAAAAACGGCAACCTTACCCCCACTTCTAGCATTCCACTTCCTTCTGGGCTTAATTTCCCCCCAAAGCACTTTCACATATTCTGTATTACTTGTGTAATACAATGGAGGGTCAGTGAAAAAGAGGAGCGAGACCCCAACAAGATGGATTGGCACAGTGGCAGCAACAATGGCTTCAAGTGGAGCAGCAACTGGCACAAGACACGGTGGTTCATTCTGTTGTTACGTAGGATCGCCGAGTTAGAACTGACTCCACGGCACTTAACAATATCTTACTTTACTTGTACATTTTTCTCCTTCGATTAGTATACAAGACTCACAAATGTTGCCTTTTGTTCACTGTTCTATATCCAGTCACAGCATAGCGTACCCAGTATACGATCAGTAAGAGTTTGCTGAACGAATGAACGTATATTCTCTTATGGAATTGAGTGAGTGTTGGTTCTCCGGCTTCCCACCTAATAGTGCGCACGCACAAGAGCTGTTAATGAATGCATGCCAGGAGAATGAACGATAGTTCCTATTTGCTTAGATGTGCTGAGGTTGTTATTGGAAGCTATAGGGAGCATAACCTTCCTTTTTAGTAAACACTTAGCAGGCTCTGGCATTCCTTAACAGCTTTAGAGGACGAGAACGCCCACATTTTCCTTTAGGAAAGGAATTTGGGCCAGTGGGAAATAAACTAATGAGAAACGAGAAGACCCGAAGCCACACCCCACACCACGGTATTCCCTTCAGCCCCAGGACCCAGTTACTCGGGCAACCAGTCCCCTCCCACGGCGAACGTCGCGCCGTGCGCGTGGAGACTTCCACACAGCTACTGGGAGGCCAATGGGAACCCAGATTCCTGACGTCACCCAGCAGAGGCGAGGGAACGCCCCTTCCGTGTCCCCGGCTCACCGGGACCCTCCAGGCGGTGTCCAAGCCCTTGGATTCGGGGTAGAGCTTGTCCAGGCTGTAGATGCTCTGGAACTCGGCACCGTCTACCTGCTTGTGCAGAGTCCGGCGGGGACAGCGCGCGGGCGGCGAGAGCAGCCAGGCTCCGGCTCGGTTCACGCCCCAGCGAAAGCACCTGGCCGCCATGTTCAGAACGCCTGCCACTTCCGGCGGCGATTTACCAGTCCGCTAGCTCACACTTCCCTCGGAATTTGGTTCCGCGTGTCTTTTAGCGACCTCCTAGTGGAGGCGGTGAGCGGGCGGTTGGCTTTGCTCTCTGGCGGCGATTCCTAGAGACTTAGGGTTGGTCGCCTGCTGAAGGCCTGACTGGCGTTCTGGGGTCTGCTTCAGCAGTGGGCATGACTTAGGCCAGATAGCGAGGTCGCAAGTGTAAAGAACCCCCCAGATCCCGTGTCCCCCAAAACACCACTGCTTGTCTCCCTATGATTAGCAAGGTCTGCTCCGAGCCACCTGTTGTTAGGTGCCATCGAGTCAGTACCGACTCATAGCCACCCTATGCACAACAGAACGAAACACTGCCTGGTCCTGGGCCAACCTCACATTCATTGCTACGTTTGAGCCCATTGCTGCTGCCACAATGCCAATCCATCTCGTTCTGGGTCTTCCTGTTTTTCTCCGACCCTCCACCTTACCAAACATGATGTCCTTCTCCACGGACTGGTTCCTCTTGACAATATATCCGAAGTATGAGAGATGAAGTCTGGCCATCCTGGCTTCCAAGAAGCATTCTGGCTGTACTTCCGACACAGATCGATTTGTTCTTGTGACAGTCCATGGTACTTTCAGTATTCTTCTCCAACACCATAACTCAAATGCATCGATTTTTCGATCGTCTTCCTTATTCACTGTCTTAACTTTCGCATGCATATGAGGTTATTGAAAATACCTTGGCTTGGGTCAGGTGCACCTTAGTCCTCAAACTGACATCTATGCTCTTGAACACTTTAAAGAGGTATTGTGCAGCAGATTTGCCTAGTGCAGTACGTTTTTTTATTTCTTGACTGCTGTTTCCATGAATGTTGATGGTTCATCCAAGAAAAAAGAAATCTTTGACTTCAATCTTTTCTCCATTTATCTGAGCCACCTAATTCACCTGAAATCCATCAGCTCAGTGTCCCCTCTTGCCTTCACTCTGCTCTATTTTTGCATACCACTTAATCCTTTTCTAATACTTATTGCATGTCTCCCAGCTAGAATGGATCCCGGATGGCGCAAAGGGTTTGCGCTGGACCTAACCCAAGAGTGTTATGGAAGAAAGGCCTACTGATCTGCTTCTTTAACAATTATCGCCAATAAAACCCCCACAGAGCAATTCTACTCTGTAACACAAGGGGTCGCCATGAGTCAGAAGCAACTCAACAGCAACTTTTTTCCTTCCCCAGATACAATGTAAACACAGTACAGTAGCTCACTGTTATAAGCTGAGTACCTAGAACGTGACCCATTTAATAATGTTATTAAATGCTGTTGAGTTGGTCAGATTCATAGCCATCCTATATATGGTTTCAAGGCGTGGCTGGTGGGTTTGAATTGTGGTTAGCAGTCCAGTGCTTATCCTACAGCACTACACCAGGACTCCATGGCCCAGAATAACTAATAAATATTGATAACATGAGTTTTGTGGAAATGTAGTTGTTTTTTTTTATGTTTTATTGTGAATTATGTGATAGTTTACATGGGAGAACATTAGTTTTACATTCATTCTATCATAGATCGTTTCATTGCCATGGTTACAATCCCCTCCATGCATCATCAACCAACCAAAGGGTATACCCTGTTAGCCTGCCCCCCCACACCCTCCCGGTCTTCAGCACACAGTCCCTCTCCCTCTCTGGATCTAAAGTCCCCAGCTGCTCCATCTCAGCTGCTCCATCTCTCCATGTCATCGTCTCTGACTCCATCTCAGGCATCACTGCTTCTCTGGGTAGGGTCCCGCTCTCCGCTCTTCTCCATTGATGGTCCCAGGGACCTCCACTCCTAGACTGCAAAGTTAATCACTCCCCTCCTTGCTATCAAATGTCTACCTTTACATTTCCAACCCCCACAATCACTCCTGATAACAATTATTCACTATTGTATCACAAGAGACCCATCAGCCCCGCCTAGACAGATTTGATACTAGTCACTGGAGATTCTACCTTCCTCCAGGCCCTCTGGATCTAGGTTCCCTCTTGAAAGCTTGTAAGCCAGTCACTTCTTACCTTTGTAGCCCGCCCCCCACCCCACCCCATTTTGGGTAGCCAATGTCCAAGTTGCCCATCCCTGTCTACTCTGTGTATGGAGGGGGTGGGAATGATCCTTGCTGTCAGGATTTGGTTCCTCTTTTGAGCTACTGCATCCATAGGTGTAGGTCAAGTCCATCAAATTGTATCAGATTACGCTTTTTTTCCTCTTCTTTCTTCTGGTTGAGCTTTGATCATCCAGGCATTGAAGCCAGGTCAAGTGGGCATTATCTGGAAATGTAGTTTTGCAACTTGAACTATAGCTGTTGCTAAGTGCTGTTTGGTTGGTTCCAACTCATAGTGATCCTGTAGCAGGCTGGGGAATGTCTGGCCCCATAAGCCCATAAAATCATTTTACCCACAAGCCCATAAAATCATTTGGTCTGGTCCTGTCAAGGCAACTGCAGGCGGGACTGAAATTCAAATAAATCTAGGAGTTTTTTTCATAGCAACATAAATTTATACTAAGTGATGTTATAAATATCCAAATGGCCCTTGGCAGAACAAAAGGAACCCTAGTAGCTAGTACATTATGAGCTGGGCTGCTAACCACAAGGTCAGTAGTTCGAATCTACCAGTAGCTCATCAGGAGAAAGATGAGGTTTTCTGCTCCCATCAAGATTTTAAGGTTTCTGAGGATTGGCCGGTGGGTTTGAACCGCTGACCTCGTGGTTAGCAGCTTAACCTACAGCATCACACCAGGACTCCAGAGGTCTAGTATAGAGCTGAGTCTTAGTGACATCAGCCTCTTTCACAAGGCAATTTGTACCCAAATCCCAAATCCTTCTGAGTATGCGTGTGGTGATGGCTTATACCCAGACACTGTCGCAGGACAAATGCCAGATGGAGGGAGTAGGAGGCATGTCAGAGAAGGAGATGGTTTGGAAAAGTGGAATACCCCCCACTTCCTGTCCCATTTTGGGCTGGAATGAGTTGAAATGTGATGGCAATTTATTCCAGCCAGGAGTTAAGGGGAGACTGAAAAGGTAGGAAGAGAATACGGAGAGCCACAAGGGACACAGTACCCTTAATGCTACTAAAACATGACAAAGCCCAGAACTGAGATGTGATCGTTCTGCACATGCTCAAGCTGTGCTTCAAAACAGCTAAACACTAGGAATTCACTTTAGTGAGAGGCAGTGTGGTCAATGAAAACTGAGCGCAAAAATGTTAATAATTGTTAGTAATACTAGTGGCTGTTTCTTGATGAGTTATATTTTTAGGAAGAAGCAGAGTTGCCTTTAAAATTTGCCTCCAAGGGCTGGTTGGTCCAAAGTGTGGTGAGACCTGGGGACTCCTGAGCCCAAACACAAGGACATAGCCATGGAAGGCTAGAACTGAGAGTGAAGCGTCCAGCTGATATGACGTGAAGGGAGATGCACAAGAACGTCCAAACTTGTAGATAGTACTCATCTGACATAGCCTCGATGGCTTGATGTTTAGAACTTGAATGTTGTTGTTGTTGTTAAGTGCCGTCGAGTCGGGTCCGACCCATAGCGACCCTGTACAGGGTTTCCTAGGGTGAACTTGAATAGAGGAAGATAAAAAGAGAATTTTTTAAATAAAGAAACAAGTGTAAATTGCTACAATTTGATGAACTTAATCTATACTTATGGATGTAGTAGCTCAAAATACCAACAGAGAGGGAAGGAGTCTTCACATCAAGGATCAATGCTATCCCCTCTGTACACAGGGTAGATAGGGACGGGCAACTTAGACACTGGATACCTAAAATGAGGGGGCGATAAAGGCACAAAGTGACTGGCTTACAAGTTTTCAAGAGGGAATTTAGTTTCAGAATGTGTGGGGGAAGGCAGAATCCCCACTGAATAGTTTTCGTCTTGTCTAGACAGGTCTGGTGAAAGGAGATGGGGATAAGATTCTTATGATTCAGTAGTGAATAATTGTTACCATGACTAATTGCAGTTGCCACAACTGTAAAGGTAGAAGTTTTGTAACAAAATGGGGGGAGTAGCTAACCTTACAATCCAGGAACAGCGGACCCTAGGACCATCCAGGGAGAAGAGCATCAACGGACTGTGGGACCCTATCCAGAGAAGCAGGGACACCAGAGATGGAGTCAGAGATGAGGACATGGTGAGATAGAGCAGCCGAGGACTCTAGACTCATGTAAAGAGAAAGGCTGTGTGCTGGTGGCCAGGAGGCAGGGTTGTTTAAATGATTGCATGTTCCTGAGTGGTTTTGTGTAAATCCTCTCCCACCCTCCAAAAACCAGAGGGAATAGAAGCAAATATTGTTGAACGATGATGCACTGAGATTGTAATCATTGCAATGAAACGATGAGTGTAACACGGATGTTCTCTCATGTAAACTATCACTCAATTCACAATAAAAACTTAAAATTAAAAAATTGAAAAATGGTGAGGCGTTTCCAGGGAGGGAACTTTATCCACATCTTAAAGTTTCACAGATCATTGCATTTTATGATATTTAGACATTGATATATTATCAATTGCCTTAGCAAATAGTGAGAGAAACCATCTGTCATTATACAATCCGCAATTATTCACCAGTCTTGGCCATCAGTGTCAGCTAACCCTGAGAGAAAACCAATAAAAACCTAAGCCTACTGCCATCCACTCAACAGCACTTAACAACAACTGCCATTAAGGAGTCCTGGTGTGGCTCTGTGGGATAAAGCACTGAACTGCAAGGTCGGTTGGAAGCACAGGATCAGTGGTTCAAACCCACCAGCTGTTCCTCAGAAACCCTACCCAGGGTCACTATGAGTCAGAATCAACTCGATGGCACTTAACAAAATAACAACTGCCATGAGGTTTCTTAGGCTATCATCCTTATGGAAACAGAAAGCCTCATCTTTCTCCCATCTTACGACTGGTGGATTTGAACTGCTGACCTTGCAGATAGGAGTACAGTGATTATCCAACAGCACCCCTGGGACTCCTTTGAGAAGACCTCAAATGTAGACAGGAATTTCAAAGTGTGATGTTAACTGTTTTTGCTTTATGTCCAATAAAGGTGATTTTCTGTTCACCTTTTCTTTTTCTTTTTGATCCCCAAACGGAAATTTATTGTTATATGTCGTTAAGTGTCATTGAGTTGGTTCCAGCTCATAGCAACCCTGTACAGGGTTTCCAAGGAGCGGCTGGTGGGTTTGAACTGCCAACCTTTCTATTAGTCCAGTGCTTATCCTACAGCACCACACCAGAAGTGCTATTGTCATAGCGTGAGAAATCGTTGCCAAAAAGATAGAGGCAGCCTCAGCGTGTTTTTGTCTGATAGTAAATCTGCATTGGAATGTGTGTCTTTCCTTGTACAGCGGTATTTGTACCTTTTGGGTTTAATTTCAGAAACCTAGGGTAAAAAAATAAACCCAGACTCAGTTGCCTAAAAAAAAAAAGCCTGCTGTGGATGCTGGCTGTTTGAAACAGGAGATTGTTATCAAATCAAGGCTCTATCTTCTCAGTATCTCTGTACAATGCTTGTTGTTATTGTTGTTAAGTGCTGTTGAGTCTGTTCTGACCCATAGCGACCCTGTATAGGGTTTCCAAGGAGCAGCTGGTGAGCTTGAACTGCCGATCTTGCAGTTCAAACAGCTTTGCAGTCTGGCGCATTAGCCCACAGTGTTTAGGAGGGAATAAACCACGTTCAGATACTGATTTTGTAACCTCCAATGTATGGAGCTCTGGTAGTGTAGTGGTTACGAATCGGTTTGCGAACCTTAAGGCCAGCAGTTCGAAACTACCAGTCTCTGCAGGAGAAAGATGAGGCAGTTCTGCTACTATAAAGATTTATAGCCTGTACAGGGTCACTATGGGTCGGAACTGACTCGAAGGCACTTAACAACAATGTATGAAGGGGTAACAACTAACATTCTCCTTTTGGGCTCTAGACTGGAAGTAGAGTCCCCTGGGTCCACTTCCTGTCTGCTTTAGTCCCCAAATCTCAGAGGGAACAGAGGCGTCTCCATGGTGACTGGAATGAGTTGCTCAGGGGAGCAAAACCAGGGATTCACTCGGGTTGAGGGTTAAAGGATTATGAATAACAAAGTCAGAATCTTATGTGGCATTTCCATGTGGCTGGACTCCAGACTCAAGCCTGACCCAGAGCAATAGAAACAGGAAGCTGCAGGTTTCCATGGCCCTAAATAAACAGCCTGCTCAGGCCATCTGGTGGCCTGGATTCTGGGAGAGAAGCTGATGAGACAAACTGCCTTGGGGTGGTGAGAAGAGCAGCTGGTAAACTGCTTTCACCTGCTGTTGCTATGAGCCTTCCAGAATGGGACCTTCCTGGGAAAAACAGACCTGAGAGGTACCCTCTGTTCTCCTAAATAGGTGGGCACCAAAGGCTGAGGCCAGCCTTCCTCTTCCTCTCCTAGGTCTTTCAAAGGCAGATGGTGCATGGGGGTACGGGGGTGGGGACAAGGGGAAGAAAAGGTGAAGAATTTTTAAGTTACCTTTCCTCACTGCTGGTCCCTACTCCATCAGAGAGAAAACCCAGCTGCAGTTGACCCCACGTGTGTCAGGGAAGAACTATGCTCAGAGTTTTCAGTGGCAGGTTGTTCAGATTGCCAGTCCTCTCTTCCAATGCACCTCTCAGTAGACTTAAACCTCCAACCTTTGGTTAGCAGCTGAGTGTGCTAAACATTTGCATCTTCCAGGGACTCCCAATTCCTCAGCCTTCAGGAACCAGTGACATCATCAACCTTTTCAGAGGACGCCCCCACCCCCTTCATCAGTGGTTTCCCAACCTTTTGATTTCATTATTATGCCCCACCCCACAAGGGAGCCTATTTAGATTCCCCCCCCACCTCTAAAATTTCACTACTGCATATAGACTGTGTATTGTGACTATTGAGTCGGCTCCCACTCATAGCAACCCTGTATAGGGTTTCCAAAGACAAGCTGGTGGGTTTGAACGACTGACCTTGCAGTTAGCTTATTCTACAGCACCATACCAGGATTCCTGATAGACCGTCATCTGTATACATCTAAAAAGTAAGGCTTTTCGTTCCCTAGGAACCAGTTCTTGCTCTCTTGGGGGGCACTGTCACCCCGTTGAGCATGCATGCCCGAGTTGGTGTAGGAACACCTTCCTGCTCCCACTTTCCCATCACGTTTTTGTGGCAATGTCCCCCTCAAATCAGAATGTCAACTCAGGGAAATAGGGACCCTGGCTATTTTGTTTGCTAGGTATCTCTTGGCATGGTGGTGGTGGTGATGTGCCTTGGAATCGGTTTCGACTCATAGGTACCCTGCATAGGGTTTCCGAGGCCGTAAATCTTTAGGGGATCAGAGAGCCTCATCCTTCTCCCGTTGAACAGATGACAGCGTTGAACTGCTGACCTGGAGGTCAGCAGACCAACTCGTAACCCACTACCAGAGCTCCATTCTCCTCCTGGCATAGCTATAATCATAAATATTGGTTGACTGATCTGGTGAGTTCAGTTTTATGGAGATACCTCAATGTCTTCGATAGTCCCAGGTCTACTATGGCTGAGAGTTACAGTAACGAGTGGGGGACCTGGAGGGCCGGAAGTGGAGCTCAAGCTTCCTGTAGGTGCGTGAGGGGAGGCAGGTATGTGTGACAGACAGACATGAACATGACTCCAGGACCACTGCTGCTTTCAGAATACTGGTGCGTTTTTTATTAAAGACGAGAATAAAGCATTTGTAAATATATTTCTCTCACGTATACTCCAAAGGAGAAGCTGGTCAGCTGCTACAACTGGGGTGGGAGCAGGATGAAGCTCTTTCCCCTACCCCATCCCCTCCACCTTCAAAGACAGAGACACATGGAGGCCCGGAAACTACCCAGCCCCAAAGGACAAACGGTTCTGAGTTACGTGGATGTGACTGGAAGGAGACAGCCACCAGCCCTCCTCACAGTGCCACCTGGAGTATGGCGGTCCCTCCAGGAAATCAGGCATGAGTGTTAAGAAAACCCTTTACCCACTAGAAATAAATAAGGCATAAAGGTCCCCCCCACAGCCCCACACAGAGGCTGGGGCCACCGCCTTCCACCGGGATGTATGGCTCCTCCTATTTCTAAAGTCTTGGATGGGCAGCAGGGGGAACTGTCCACCCTGAAGAACTGCTCAGAGCAAGCTGGGATCTCGGGTATTTCGGAGCACAAGCCTGGATTTCTGGAGACTTAAAAGATTAAACTCCTGACCCAGCTGGGTCCTTAAAAGCCCATCCAGAAGAGGGCTATAAGCAGGCATTATATAGGAGAGAAACATGTTCCCTGTCCTATTCCAATGCAATACTATCTGGTATGAGTAAGAAGCAGGCAAGGAGACAGGGATGGATGCTACAGCCACTGACTGGTGGCACATGCCCAGGACTTTGCGGGGCAGCAGTGGAAGCTGTGCTGGGGCCAGCCAGTGGAGAAAGTGGGTGTGAATGAGACGTCATGGTCCCTGAGATGGGGGCAGAGATCAAGCCCAGCGTGTCAGAGGTGGTGTACAGAGAAGGGGGCTCCCTCTCACCCTGGCCCTAGAAGGCTTAACTCAGAAGGCATTTCAGGGGCTGGAACCCAAAGGGGCTAGGAAGGAGATGGGGTGCTCACCTCCCTTATGGCTGCTAGGCGGGCACCCTCTTCCCCTCTGATTGGCTAAAGCTGCAGAGGCCCAGGGTTGGAGGGGAGATGCTGGCCCTCACGGGGGCCTAGCTGAGGCTTCCTGCCAGCAGGGCAGGGGTTTCCTCTGACCTGGTTGGGACCCCGGAGTGGGAGAGCTGGTGCTAAGGAACGGCAGCGTGGCTCAGCTGGGGAGAAGCAGTGAGTGGTCCAGGAGACTCTGGGGTCTCCCTTCAAGTGTTTCCAGTGGGAGCAAAGGGCTGGGGAGTCCTTGTATTGCAAATCTCTCCGAAAACAAAACTTGGAAAAGAAGTCAACGGGTCCAGAATGGCTCCCAGAGCCTGGCCGCAAAGCTCAGGGTCAGGAAGCTGGGTGGTCTGGGGGTACTGGGGACCCACCATGGGAGTGGAGACGTTTGGCTTTGAACTCTGGTTGCGACAGGATGGTCTGGGCTCCTGGGAAGCAGGCTGTGATGACACCTTCCCTGTCAGCAGGACACAGGTCCTTCCCACGCTCCCGGCGTCAGAGGGTCCTGTATTTCTGGACCGGCACCTGTTCAAGTGGTTGTTCTCCTATGGTAGGCTGCAGGCCCTGTGAGAGGCACCCACACGTGTGTCCAGGGAGGCTGCATTGTAGAGGCCTCACTTGCTGCTGTGGGTCTTGACTTTGGTGGCGTTGATGTCGGCCTTGGTCTTCTGGATCCTGGAGAAGATCTCTTTGAAGAGCGCCTTGTACTCGGGCTGGCTCTGCTCCAGCCGCTTGTCCACAGCCTCCACATGCTGGCTAAGGCTCTTGTCTCCAGCCTTGACCTCGCCCGGGCCCTCCTCGCCCCCTCGCAGGTCCCTCCAAGAGCTGTCCCGGGAGATAGGCCTAGAGGTCTGCACGCCTGCGTGCCGCACGCCCGCCCCATGCTGCCGGCACTTGTTCAGCAATTCCTCATACTTCTCCAGCAGCGCGTGGTACTGCTCATCTACCTCCCGCAGGATGGACATACCCCGCTTGCGTACGCTATTAGCGTGCAGCGTCAGGTTGCCCGCGTGCCGGCTGGCTGGGTCTTTGGCCACGATGACGTTGAGCGCCGTGTCACTGCAACTCTTGCGCACCGCATGGCCTGGGGAGGTGGCCGGAGAGGAGATGCCGTCCTGGGTACCTAAGTTGCTGCTGATACCCGGCTGAGGGTCATCCGCCTCGGGGGCATGGGTGAGCGGCTCAAGCAGGGCCTCGGCTAGGTGGTCCTCCCGGCCCAGCAGGTAGGTTTTCACCTGTTTCATCTGCTGCAGCTCTAGGAGCTCAGCTTCCAGCTCCTGCACACGCAGGCGGCAGCCCTCCAGCTGACCTAGGCGCAGCTCGAGCTCGGAGTATTCCTGCAGTACCGCTGTGTACTCCCGCTCTGCGCGCTCCTTGCGCTGCCGCTCCTGGCTCACTTGAGAACGTAGTGCCCCCACCAGGGTCTGCAGCCGCTCATTCTCCTGCTCCAGCGGCCTCGGGCCCAGCTCCAGGGAGGAACTGTGTAGGCGGAAGGCATCCTCGCACCTGGGGTCGTAGGGTAGTGGTCACGGTCAAGACCCCTAAGCCCAGCCTAGACATTGCATCTCTCTGGTCCACTGTGCCCATCTAGATCTGTTCTTCCCTCTTCCTGCCCCTCCGCCCCACCGTTTTCTGCGTGTTTCAGACCTTACTCTTTTTGTAAGCTCAGCCAACGGAAGGCACTGGCAGGAGGCCGGAGGGTATATGTCCCTGGTACGCTCCCTGGGTAACCATCAGCCCTCTACACTTTGCCTCACCCCCTTAGGCCCGGGATGGTCACAGTGGCTTCCCTCCACCCTGCCGATACCTCTTTATTTATGAATCCATCTTCAATGACTCTGTTTGAGTGGCTGCTTCCTGTCAGGACCTTTATTGAAACGTCTACTAAATATACGATAAAATTCTACAATTCTACATTAAGGAGTCGTATGGTCTTAAAATTTTATGGGAACTTAAAGGGGTGGTGGCTTAAGCCCTCCTGGGTTGGCATCCTTCTAAATGGGTGACCTCTGGGCTTCACTGTTCCCATCTGAGCAGTGGGAATGATAACTACGCCCCCCAACAGTAATGCTACAAGAATGACGTCACTTAGGCTGCGCCGGACACAGGCTCAGTACCCCATCAACGCCAGCCGCTATTGTTCTCCTTAACAAGTGGGCCAGGCTCTCTCCCATGGCCCATAAGATGCACCAAGACTTGTTTCCGCCCCTGCTCAGTGCTCGCCCTCTCTGTCCTTCCCTGCCTGGGGTCAGAACCCAGCTGCTGTACTCTGAGCGGACTGGCCCGCACCTACCGGGGGCTGGTGCACAGCTCCTTGAGGCAGGGGAAGGTGTGGATGGTGCGCCTGCGTTCCCGCTTCTCCCGGCGGACTCTCAGCTGCTCCAGGCCCCGCAGCTGTTCCAGCTGTGCCTGGAGCTCCTCCACTTGGGCCTGCAGGCGCTCAATGGTCTCCGTCAGCCTGCAGGTGGAGAGACTTGGGCTTAGGGATAGACAGGCAACCTTGAGGTGTGCTCCGGGCACTGAGCTCTGATGGGGAAACCGTCCATCAACCCAAGGCCCCACCCCTTTCTCACACCTCCCAGGCCCAGTTGCTCACTCCTCTCCTGTGTACCATCACTGTTGTTTGCACACTTATCCAGTACTGCAGTCACGTATTTACATGCTTGCCGTTACTCCCAGGCTTCGAGCTCACAGAGGGCAGACTTTACCATCCCATCTCCTCCATCCCATCTTCCCACCCTTGGCGGTCCTCACCCATGAATCTTCTGCTGCGCAGTCTTGCTCTCCAGCACCAGTTTCTGGTTAGTCAGCTCCAAGTCACGGGCAGTCAGGTCCAGCTGCTCATATACCTTGGCGTGCTGGTCATTCACGTGCCGCAGTGTGTCCAGCTGCTTGGTCAGGTACTAGGGGGAACGGGTTGGGGGGCGAGTGGCCCTTTAGGGCAGGTGGGGGAAAATATCCCTGCCTGAACCTTGCAGATTCGCTGGGGTACTCATCTACAGGGGCAGGAAGAAGCTGGTATGTCAGGGCTGTCTGTACACTGCACAAAGCTGGCAGACAGAGGCTGTGTTTACTAAGAAGGCACCTGCTGCCTGGGGGTGGGAGAGCGCATGTGTAGGGCCCACATGGCCCCTCACCTCAATCTCTTGCACTTGCTCCTCATTGGTGGAGTACATCTGCTGCAAAGACTCCTCCAGCTCCTTGTTCCTCTCCAGCAGCGTCTTCCCCAGCTCTGCTGCCAGGTGCAAGTCTTGGGGGAGGGGGCAGAGGGCAGAGGGTGGGAGAAACAGAAGCAGCAAAAGAACACAGTCAGACCATTTGCCATTAAGTCATTTCTGACTCACAGGGACCCCTGAAGGACAGAGTCGAACTGCCTATAGGGATTGTAAATCTCAACATGTATGCTGAGCAAATAGTCCGAGAAACTGGATTATATGAAGAAGACTGTGGCATCAGGATTGGAGGAAGACCCATTGACAACCTGCATTATGGCGATGATACAACCTTGTGTGATAAAAGCAAAGAGGGCTTACAATACTGATGAAGATCAAAAACCATAGCCTTCAGTATGGGTTGTACCTCATCACTGGACCAATAAATAATATCATGATAAATAATATCAATGGGTTGTATCTCATCACTGGACCAATAAATGTTGTTGTTGTTGTTAAGTGCCATCGAGTCGGGTCCGACCAATAGCGACCCTGTACAGGGTTTCCGAGGGTGTAAATCTTTACGGGAGTAGAAAGCCTCATCTTTCTCCCGCGGAGCGGCTGGTAGTTTCAAACCGCTGACCTTAAGGTTCGCAGCCCTATTCGTAACCACTACGCTACCAGAGCTCCTTTTATTGTGTTTCATTTTATTGTGCACAGGGTTGCTACTATTATACCAATAAATAGTATCATGATAAATGGAGAAAAGATTGAAGTTGTCAAAGGCTTCATTTTGCTTGGATCCACTATCAACATTCATGGAAGCAGCAGTCAAGAAATCAAATGACATATTGCATTAGGCGAATCTGCTGCACAAGACCTCCTTAAAGTGTTCAAGAGCATAGATGTCGGTTTAAGGACTAAGGTGCGCCTGACCCTAACCATGGTCTTTTCATTAGTTTCCTATGCATGTGAAAGTTGGATAGTGAAAAAGGAAGACCGTAGAAGAATTGATGCAGTTGGAGAAGATTAAAAAGTGCCATGTACTGCTAGAAGAACAAACAAATCTAGGTTGGAAGTATAGCCAGGATGCTCCTTAGAAATCAGAATGGTGAGATTCTATCTCTCATATTTCAGACCTTAATATCAGGAGAGGCCAGTCCCTGGAGGAGGACATCATGCTTGGTAAAGTGGAGGGTTGGCGAAAATGAGGAAGACTCCCAATGAGATGGATTGGCACAGTGGCAGCAGCAATGGGCTCATGCATAACAATAATTATGAAGTTGGCACAGGACTGGGCTGTGTTTCATTTTATTGTGCACAGGGTTGCTATGAGTCAATAATGACTCACCAGTACCTACCAACAGTAACATCAAGCTTCACAGAAGCAGAATGCCACACCAAGGAGCAGCTGGTGGGTTCAAACTCCCATCTTTTGGTTAGTAATCAAGTGCTTACCTATGGTACCAGCAGGGTTCCCTACAAAGTCAGAAGACCCTTTCAAGGGTCCTTTTGGACTGGTACCCAGGGCCCTAAGACAAATAATACAGAGGTGCTGCCTTCAGGTAGTCCCCAGGCTTGGGAGAAAATTGAAGTTTTGGACCTGTCTAAAAAATTCATTCCTTGAGGGTCACTGTCTCTCCTCCTTCAAGTCTACACTTAAATGTCACCTTCTCAGAGACACCTTGCCCAAACACCTAATTTTAAATCATACCATCCCCACCCAGCATGTCCAGAGTATATGAGACTAAGTCTCACCTTCCTCGATTCCAAGGAAAATTTTAGCTATACTTCTTCCAAGATAGATTTGTTTGTCCATGGTACTTTCAATATTTCAATATTGAGCACCACAACTCAAATACATCAGTTCTTTTCCGGTCTTCCTTATTCATTGTTCAGCTTTCATATGCATATAAGGTCACAGAAAACACCATGGCTTGGGTCTGGTGCATCTTAGTCTTCAGAGTGACACCTTTGCTCTTGAACACTTTGGAGAGGTTTTTTGCAGCAGATTTGTCCAATGAAATACACCGTTTGATTTCTTGACTGCTGTGTCTATGAATAATGATTGTGGATCCAAGTAAAATGAAATCCTTGACATCTGCAATCTTTTCTCCATTTCTCATGATGTTGTTTATGGGTCCAGTTTGAGGATTTTTGCTTTCTTTACACTGAGTTGTAATCCATACTGAAGTTTGTATTCTTTGATCTTCATCAACCAGTGCTTCAAGTTCTCTTTGCTTTTAGCAAGCAAGGTTGTGTCATCTGAATAGAACATTCTTCTAACCCAGATGCCATGTTCTCCTTCATATATCACAGTTTCTCAGATTATTTGCTCAGCACAGACTGAATAAGTATGGTGAAAGGCTCCAACTTTTACCTACACCTCTCCTGATTTTAAACTGAGCAGTAGCTCCTTGTTCTATATGAATGAATGCTTCTTAGTTTATTGTTGTTGGTAGGTGCTGTCGAATCGGTTCAGACTCATAGCGATCCTATGCAAAATACAATGAAACACTATCTAGTCCTGTGCCATCTTCACAATTGTTGTTACGTTTGAGCCCCTTGCTGCTGCCAATCCATCTTGTCGGAGGGCTACCTCTTTTACCAACCATGATATCCTTCTCCAGGGACTGGTCCCTCCTGATAACATGTCCAATGTATGAGAAATGAAGTCTTGTCATCCTGGCTTCTTAGGGAACATGAGCATTCTGACTATACTTCCTCCAATATAGATTTGTGGGTTCTTCTGAATGTCTTTAGTACTTTCAATATTCTTCTCCGACATCATAACTCAAATGCATCAATTCTTCTACGGTCTTCCTTATGCATTGTCCAACTTTCACATGATGCTATTGAAAATACCATGGCTTAGGTCAGGAGCACCTTAGCCCTCAAACTGACATCTTTACTCTTGAACACTTTAAAGAGGTTTTGTGCAGCAGATTTACCTAGTGTAATATGTCATTTGATGTCTTGACTGCTGCTACCATGAGTGTTGAATGTTGATTCAAGCAAACTGAAGTCTATGACAGCTTCAATCTGTTATTAATTTATTGTGTTATTTATTGGTACAGTTGTAAGGATTTTTGTTTTCTTTACAGTGAGGTGCAATGCATACTGAAGGCTATGGTCTTTGTTCTTCATCAATAGTATTTTAAGTCCTCTTCACTTCTAGCAAGCAAGGTTGTATCATCTGCATACCACAGGTTTTAATGAGTCTTCCTTCAATCCTGATGGCATATTCTTCACATAATCCAGTGTCTCAAATTATTTGCTCTGCATACAGACTGGTCTATGCATGAGTGCAATTAAGTGTTCTGGCATACATATTCTTGGCAATGTTATCCATAGTTTGTCATAATCTACACAATTGGATGCCTTTGCATATTCAATAAAGCACACGTAAATATCTTTCTGGTATACTCTGCTTTCAGCCAAGAGTCATCTGACGTTAGCAATGATAACTTGGTCCATGTCCTTTTTTGAATCTGACTTGAATTGCAGCAGCTCCCTGTACATGTGCTGCTGCAACCATTTTTAAACCATCTTTAGCAAAATTTTACTTGTGTGATATTAATAATATTGTTTGATAACTTCCCTATTCTGTAGGGCCATCTTTCTTTGGAATGAGCCCTCATATGGATCTCTTCCAGTTGGTTGGTCATGTAGTTGCCTTGTGGATTTCTTGGTGGAGATGAGTGAGTGCTTCCAGTCTGCATCAGTTTGTTGAAACACTTCGATTGGCAGTCTATCAATTCCTGCAGTTTTGTTTTTTCTTAATGCCTTCAGTGGGTCGGAACCGACTCGGTGGCACTTCATAACAAGCCCTCAGATTTGGCCTGCCTGTTTCTTCTTCTGAATCTGTTACTAATCTGGAAGCACCACTGACAACGGTGTACCATGGGCGACCCTGTTGGTATTTAGACAACGGCTGCATGGCTTTCAGCATCACAGCATACGCAAGCCACCACAGTACGACATCCTGACGGACCAGTGGACAATATATGTCTGTTTGGTCATTTTTAGAGAATACAGAATATTCTACTGTATAAACCAAAGGAAAGGAGTCAAATCCATTGTCCTTGAGTTGACTCAGACTCATGGTGACCGCATGTGCTACTTCTGGGAGCCGTTTGAACTGAAGGTCTCAGACTTGGGGGCAGTTTATCTGAAGGATTACAACTCAACAGTTGTGGTCCAGAAAATAGGGCTGCTCCCAGGTCAGGCTGCCCCCTGAGGAACTTGCAAAGCCTGCCTCAGGGAACAAGGAATTTGCAAAGTCTTTCCTTGTACATCAATCAAAGTCTTTCCTTGTATGCAGCCATGGCCTTCTGCAAAAACATCTAGCTGCCCTATCTCTGTTTCCCTAGCAACTACATTCCTCTGATAAAGTCCCTGCTTACTGCTTGCGTCAATTACACCAAATGTTTTTTGCACTCTTTTCCCTGCCCCCAGCACTCTCCCTTGATATATAATAAACGTGCTGAATCTAAGTCGGAGTCCATCAGAATGCTGTGTCTCACCTGGTCCCAACTTAACTATTTTCATTTTGTGTCTTCCTGTTTTTCTAATCTCCCATCACCCCTACTAGGGTTTAACCTTTCCTTACGGGTTGTGGAGTATAGCCACTTGTCCGACACCAACATGCTACAATGTAGAAGTGCTCCACAGGGAATTCTCTTAGCTGTAATCTTTATAGGAGAAGCTTGCCAGGCCTTTACTTCGCAGTGCTGCTGGATTCGTTTGAACAGTCAATCATTTGGTTAATAGCTGAGAGCAAATCGCTTGTATCACCCAGGAAACATCATACAGATCCCTAAGTAGTTGTTCCAAAATAGTCCCCAATGTTGAGCTTTTAGGGGAGAACAGAAATAGGAAATACAGCAAGTGGGTTAAATCATGTGACAATATAAGGACTGTCACCAATGACATGAAACAAAACAGATCAACTGTTGAATGGGTAATTGATTTGCCCTGTAAACCTTGATCTAATTCACAATTAAAAAGTTGTTGTTTTTTAAAAATCTGTAATTAACTTCATTATACAAAAATCTCTGTGCAAGGGTATTAGGAATGGTTGTGCAACTTGAAGAAT